GGATTTTTTTTGTAACGAGTTGCATTATCAGAGGAAGTCCAGTTGTTTGTAGTTGGCTTTTTTGTAGAGCATTTAAAACTTGGATCAGTGATTTAAAATAAGCATCTCACATTTTTGGTGCCTCAGTCAGTGGTTCTTAGAGAAATGATCAGTTATAAAGGGATAACAAGGTAAAGGAAAAGCAAATTTGCATGTTAATGGCAGAATCTATAAAGCTAGTAATACCCAATGGTAGTCAAAATTTTCATTGTTTTTATGATCTTTCAGTGTGTAAGCTGTGGCATTAAACCGGATATGTTTTCTTAAATACTTCTCCTTAGTAATGCATTAAGTAGTTGCCATGCCTACATTAATAAATCAATTCTATTGTGTGGCTAGAAAATTTGGATGCCTGTCCACTAGTGACTTCAGAAAAGTTAAACAGGGTCTTTTCAGCTCTTGTTCTCCTAGGTCAGTTTGTTCACTCTCTCTATGGCAGCTAAGGCTGTCTATCTGGAAAAAAATGTTTACAATGAAGTGCGTGCTGTGTGAGTATCCTTTAAAGCTAGATGGAAAGCTCTTTTTATTTGAGATGCATCCCGTAAAACCTTTTTCTAAAACGAGAATGCTGAGAGATAGTTGTGATGGCTGGGAATGGTTGCTGCTGATGCAGTCTACGTGGAAACAGCTACCATGTTTCCCAGGGTATTTCAAATGTTGTATTCTCCCTTTTTCTGCATTTGTCCGTTGTAATTACAGGTTTATTAATATCAGAACATAGTACTGGAAACAATTAATCTGGTAGCCTTGCAGGAGGAGATAATAATATTTATAGTATCCATATGATGTCTCAAAGATCATTCAATAGATTAGCTGTAATGAGTTATCCTGTGCTGGTATAAACATGATGAAATAGATTAATGTGACAAGAATACAAAGTCACTAGCACTTCTTTAGACCAATCTTCAGACCTTAACAAAATAAAATAAAATCTGAAAAATTCCTACTGAATTTTTTTTCAACATTCCCAAATGACTGCATTCTTTTATCAACTCCATCCTTCTACATGAAAGATCTTGAAGCCTTCCTTTGAAATGTGAACTGAATTCTTGTTCATTTGATTAAACAGTGATAGCAGAGACTTGGCAATGGAATATCCATTTTTGGAGTATGGGAATCATGTATAAAGCTTTGCTGATAAAGCGAGGCTGGGAAAATATAGCAAAAAAGCCTAGAAATTCTTTATTCCAATTTAGTTGGAAAGACTCCAGCAGAAATCAATAGTCCCTACTGCTTTTGCATGAAACACCAGGACACTTGGCAATTACCAAAATAAAAATAATAAAAAAAATAAAAGATGACCTTAAGGGATTATGGATTATTGCTATTTATGTACTGAATTCAAGGACATCTGAATGCTTAACAGAAGTTCCCTTTTGTTACCTATAAAACTTTGGGTCTGTTGCCCATGTTCAAAGGCTAGAAATAACTTAAGGGGCTGTACTAGTAATTTTGTGAATGCCCAGGTATTATCAATTTTTTAAAGAAATAGAAAACAAACTTCACAGTAGCATGGTGGATATTTAGCAGGCTTCGGAAGTTATGGAGGGCAATTCTATCATGGAAAAGTCAATTTAGTTTTTGGTTAGGAGCCCCCCCCCCCCCCCCCAAAAAAAAAAAAGGGAGGGGGGGTGGGGGGGCAAATAAGGCAATAGGATTTAGTATTAGGAAAAGAATCAAGAAAACTATATAGTCTCTACAATGTTTTCTGTTGCTTTATTCTTTCTGTAGTTCTGTTTAAAACAAGTTTTTAGATTTTGGTTTGTTTGTTTTTTTTTTTTTAATATTTAATGAAGTTGTAACAGAGTGTGTTTCATCATGACTACAACATGAAATAGCAGGAGGACTATAACCTTTCGGAAAACTCACATATCCTGTATGTGAGTATATCCAGCAGAAAATACCAAACAGCTCTAGGGATATCTAGGATATCAATTAGTAACACAGCTTTTGAACTTTTGAATGTTAGTAAATAACCTTTGTAGCTAACATGTCTGATCTTTGCAGACCATAGATAGATGCTTCCATGTCCTGGTTCACCTTTTCAAAGACAGAAAAGGCTATAACTTAAAACTGACATTTAACGAGACTGTATTCATTAAAAAAAAAAAAAAAAGAAAAAAAAAAAAAAAAAGAAAAAAGTTACGAATTATTGTGTGCTTTTCAATATAAGGAGTGCTTTCCAAGACTGTCATAAGAAGCTGTCAGCATCATTGTTATCTATAACTGTTGTGCTTAATTTGGAAGACCAGAGACACAACTCAGAAGAATGCAATAAAAACTTGAAATCATGTCCAAGGAGGGAAAATGAAGTATCACAATTTATGACTGTTTGTAAATAAAACAGTCTGGGCTTTGAGCGTGTAGCATTTTGACACCAGCCCCACATCACTCTGCATGGGCAGAGCACCATGTGACTCCTCTGGAAGTGTCAGGAACTCCAGTTGTGGAAGGTTGGCTTACTACAACAGCTGACCATAGTTTGTTAGCAATTTATATCAGAAGAGAAGTCCAATTACTTCAGTAATTTCCATTAGTACTCCGATTAAGCTATATTGTAACTGTATCCTCAGTGGCACTTTTGCCTGTGTAAAATGTCACATGCTCAATCTCAGCTCTGCTCTGGCACTGCTGAATAGGCAAAAGTTTCTGCCGTGGACTTGATTTAATCTTGAATTATATTGAACAGAGAAGTGATTAAAGCAGAAAAAAACCTCTGAAGAATATATTTAATCTAAAACTTTAAAATGCTGACCTTGACAAGGTATTTTTGAGTTAATTATGGTAGAAGAGGAGTATCTGGCTCTTCAGATACTGTGCTCTGAGAATTCAGTACGTCACTACCTCAAAGACATACTTTGTGATACTGTATGTTTCTGTAGTTTTGCTCTTGTCCATTGGGGACATCTCAGATTACCTTGTTTCTTCACAGCAGGCTGACAAATATAAGTGTTCTGCTCTATAGAGCCATATCAAGTTGAGTTGCTGCTCATCAAACTGTTTTAGTTACCTTTTGTAATTATTGCAAGTGCTTTCAAATAATATTATCTTCAGTTTTCTTTATTTAAAAGGGATAGAAATATTACTGTTAATAGATTACTGTTGTTTATTTTTTTTTTGCCTAAGCAAGTTTTAAATGGTCGTTTGAGTACCGCTGTCTAAAACTGACCTTAAAAGGTAACTGGGTTACCTTTTTACCTTTTTTCTACCTGAAGATATTTTCTTACATAAAACCTGATCATGCTTGAAATGTCAGCAGTGATGTGCTAGTCACTGTTTGCATTTACAAATATCTTGTTTCCAAAATTCAGTTTGATCTATTCAAGTTCAGGTTTGTCATAAGTGCAGGTATTGGGGAAAATGGCAGGACCTTTCATTCTGATTCTGCAAAAGCATTTGAAGAGAGGCTGTTAGAGTTCCCAGGATTATTTTTCTCTCCTCTGAAAACTTTGAATTACAATATTTTCTCTCAGGGGAGGAGAAATGTTGTGTACAAAGACAAGGGTGTGGATGTTCTTATTCTTTTACATGTATTTTACTAATCTTTCTTCACTTAATCTGCATAACAAGGAAAACTTGTTATGATAACAAGGAAATCTGTTTTATTTAGCATACACTAAGAATGAAAAAAGGTTTTTGAAATTATCTGAATTTCATTCCAGAACCATCCTTACAGATGTCTTGAAATTCAGTGTTTTGGTTTTCAAATTAACTTGGCAGATATTTACTTTGTATTGAGTTATGAGCAAAAAGCAAGTTAATAAGTTTATATAATTTTGAGTTTGTCAAGTTCCATGTGCATTGTGCACTGCTTCCTTCATTTGAGAGCAGGCAACAGAATATTTTGTGATAGTCTGTATGGTATATAATGTAATACTCTCTCACAATTTTAATATATGCTACTATATTAGATCCTGGTCCTTGTCCCCACAAAGTCAGTAGGAATTTAAAACTTGAAAATGAAGTTTGTATATGAAAATTGAACCATGGCTCTGTGGAAATCATCTACTTTGAAAATCACACTTCATTAGAAAAATTCTTGTCTTAGTAAAGAAAATTAAAATATGTCAGTCAGACATCCTTCTCTGACTATCTCACTATATTGTTGATTAGTCCAACTGCATTGGAAAGGTTAAAGAGATACATTAGAAGACAGGAATGATAGCTCACCTCGACATACTGTCACCTTATTCCAAATCTCATCAAACTACATATTCCAGTTACAGACAACAGTCCAAACTGTAATCAATCTTTTGACCTGTGCTGCGGGGGGGGGGGTTAGATGTACGTATAGAAAAGTATAAATAATATACCTGAAATGATACAATCTATGATCTATGGTGCATTGCTTTTGTTTAAGTTCTAGGCCAATTTTTGTGACTGGTGAATCAAGTTAGCGTTTTCCTTAGTTTTTTTTGGATTAGCTTTTTTCTTTCATTGATGTGGGATTTATGTTTGTTTTGGGTTATTTTGTGTTGTTTTTTTTTTTTTATTTTATTTTTTTTTTCTCTTTCCTGGTTGTTACTATATGAACTGCATTTGCTCATATTTCATTTAAAAAGTTGTGTATTTTATTTAAAACCATATTTAAGTGTATTAATATGAAAATATTATTCTGGTTAAAGAATACAAAATAGGTGTGTTTGCATTTTAGAAGGGATACTTTGGAAATTGGAAGTGGTTGAAATTATACTCAACTTTACTGCAGTCTAGTTCATTTTTATGTTAATATTTCCAAATATAAATTTACTTCATTCATCTTTTTAAGAACCTTAATTGCAAATAATATTGCAGTCACATTGAAGTTTGCTTGCCCGGTGCTTTTGCTTTCTGTTAATTAGTCAGTCTTGATCAGTTGATGTTACTAAGACCAATTCGATCAAATTTATTAAACATACACTTTATGAACAACTAATACTTAGCCTTACAGCATCTCTTTCCTTTTTTTGTTTTCTTCATAGATACTACAACGTATTCCACTGAGCGATCTGAGCACTTTAAGCCATGCAAAGACAAGGATCTTGCATATTGTCTCAATGAAGGGGAATGCTTTGTGATTGAAACCTTAACGGGATCACATAAACACTGCCGGTAAGTCATTTGCGAAGAAGTTGCAAAAAAGTCTTCTGTCCAAGGGAGACAGCATTAGACAAAAAGCAACATTCAGACTTAGAAGGCTATAAAGCAATGGAATTTGCCTTCAATTTGATTGCATCCCTCACAGTTGATGCTTTTTTTTTACAAGTCTCTAATATTTATACATAGCAATACAGAAATGCAAAAAGAAATTTTGATTACTTTTATAGATAATAAAATCTTCAATATTCTGTTTTCTAGTCATATAAACAAGTAAGGATTAATGTTTTGTTTTGGCTTTTACACATTAAAATTTTATGTTCCAGCAGTGTTCCTTTATATTGGGTACTCGAAATAGAACTTTGACAGTAGCTGTATGGACTGTTCATTGAGAGAGATGAAGAGTTGTTCAGTTCATAATTTTAAGACTTATGTTTTTTTTAAGTTTAATTACTGAAAGTTAAAATGGAGTCTAATAGTCATCTGAACCTGCTATATATCTGTAGTACAGTTTTATACTCCTGAACTTCTGTTAATGTCTATGACCATATGGAAAGTATTTAAAAGAATATCAGAAAAGAAAGCCAGATCACCAGATAAAATTATTCTAGATGTAGTGGCCAGTAAAAGGGAGTGATACGCAGAAGGAAGACTGTAACATCTTCCTAAAGATGAGAATAGAAAAAACTCTGAACTATTCAAACAATCTGTTAAATAGAAGTGATCCAAAATGAAAATGTGTACTTGTGATGTTTTAATTTACTCATAAAATACTGTATTCATCATACAGAAAGTGTATCTAAGACACTTACATGCTCAGATTCTAAACTGAGCATCTAAATATCTATATATCTCTCTCATATAAATAATTAGAAGCACCTAAGATACTCAGAAGTTTTCCTGCATGATTTGGAACTTAAGCTGCTTAATCCCACTAAGAGTAGGAAAAAACTCACAAAATCATATGTGCCTAGTTTGAAAGTGGAAGTTTATGTATTTGAAGATTGATAAAAGTCTGCTTATCATCAGAATACTTTTCCTAAGATTTTCATTTTTAATACTATGCTGGTAATTTCTTCCCATTCAGTTCTATATGCTTCAGTGACCATTCATTTCCCCTCCTTATTTTATGTTTTCTTTATGGCATGCTTATTAAATTAAACACTATGAGTCATTAATCATGAAAAAATTATGAGTTTTTCAACTTCTATCATAGAACTTTACAGGTAATTTTTTCTCAAATCAGGTGTGTGATTTTCAGTCTTTCAATCTTTCTTACAAGTGTCATGAACTGTTAACAAGGGAATTATCACTCAAATCTTTAACCATTTTTCATTGTCAAAGTGTTCAAATGGAACAAAACTGATGCAAAATAATAGTAGGGGAAATGGATATATTTGAGAATTTTTAATTAGTTTGATAAATTTAAAAGCTCATCTCTTCAAACAAACCATTTTAGTAAGCTGAATAGATTAAACTTTTAGATACCTGCAGGACTGTATCTCATAAGAGAGCTGTTTTTTGTTTTATTTTGTTTGGTTTGTTTCAAGATCTTTGCTGTTGTCTGCCTTTGCCAAGTTCTTGGTTTTTTTTGCTTTGATTTTAATGCCACAGTCTGCCTAATGGTTAGAAGCTTTTCCATCTAAGCTTTTCCCCATATCTAAACAAGCCAGAGTGTTGAGTTTTCATTCCTTCCAGCAGAGTGAAATTTTTTCATCACCTTCTCTTGTGTTATTCTTCCATAGGGAAATATGGGTGTCATTTATGATTCTGTTAGCTCCTGAGTGTAACAGATTTATATTGCTTGTACAAGTTTCAGGCATTGACACATTCTCTGGGAATTAAACACCTGCATATTTCAGTGGATAGTTTGAAATGTGCAACACGAAAAGACATGTGTAAGGCAATAAATTAATATGGCAAGTGAAGACAAATTTTAAAAGATGATTAAACTAGTTATAATGCTTTGTCTAAATCTGTAAGGACCTTCAACACTGCAAGCAGCAGCTTGTTCAGAATCACTTTTATAAGACTGATGTATATGTCATTGATGAAGAGAAACCTTCTACTTTGACCTTCAAGTTCTGTATATCTACCTTGGCAACAGACTGTATGTCTCTTTGTCAGGGCCAGTGTTGCAGTTAGTGGTATGCAGGTGTTTTTCTATCTGTAACCTAGTATCACGCTCTGAAATAGCAGCTAGAATGTACACATATAGAAAAATATTGATGTACTGTATTTGTCCTCTAACTAGAAAAAAAGTAATTTCCCCTGAGAATGAAAGGGTTATGGAATTCCCATTGCAATTAAAAGAATCGTTTGAATACAGAATTATGAAGACTTAGAGAGTGAAATGATACTTTGTTCTTAGAATCAAGCTGCATTGTGTATTCTCATTGGGAGTTTGATTTTTTGCATCTGTTCTGGGAACAGAGCACCAATTTACTGAAATGGGAATTTGCCATGTGGAACAGCTGCAGATAGAAGACCTTGATGTAGCAAAAAACTTTTGTCCCACTTTGTCAGGTTTAAATAGTGTTAGTAGATTATATGCTTAGGCAGTTGTGCAGTTCTTGTTCTGTGTATGTGTTTAAGGACAAATATGCTAATGATTTTTAAATTAAATATATATATATATTAGATAGCCATTAATAAATGAGTTACATCCTGGACCTCTTCTGCATCCTCATGAACCATATTGTCAGTGCAAACAGTCTCAACTGGCAGTTCAAGCACCTTTCAGAGTTCACAAAATGCATCATGCTCTTGTTCAACAGTAGGAGGAGATGACCATGTTGAACTCCACCAGTCAGCAATGACATTGGCAACTGGGTGTTGTAGAACACTGGCTTTATAACTTTTTTCTGTTTTGTGACAGACATGCCTTATCTAGTTTGAACCTGTAATTGCGGAAAGTGGGACTAGTGTGCACCCTTGCTAAGGGGCAAGGAGGAGACCATGTTGCAGGAGACCACTGGGAATACAGTAAATGAGGAGGTCTGAAGCAGTCTTGCTTGTGCATCTTCCATTCTTATCCACCTACAGAGGAGGTGTCCTGAAGTCATGACTCTTTTTTTAGCTTAGTTGACAACAGGAGGGAAAAAAAAATACAGGAATAGTTATAACTTCAAATTCTGTAATTCCATTTTTGTTTGAACTACATTTTATTCACTGTCTCTTGGTGAAAATTTGCCTGGGGATATAAACTGGCAGAGTTCTCCCATGTGGTTATGTAATAAACAAGATACACTGGATGTTGTTTGTGCTATTTTAAAGGTGTGACTTCAGTATTTATTTTTGTGAATGGTTTAACACAAGCTTGTTTTAAGGACAAGGTAGGTCAACAGTAGGGAAACTGCATATTTAGCTTCTCCATATGCTGACATTTTTTCTCTGTTGCCTTCTTGAGAATTTAAGCTGAATAGTGAGAGTGCTTTTATTTGTTATTTACACAAAACAAATCAAGTACACAGCTAACACTGACACATCATCATTTAACGGGATATTACATAACACAGGCTTTTAAATAAGAAATTTAGATTTTGTCTGTACAATTTTATTTCAAAGACCCTATCTCAAATCGCTCTGAGATTTTGGGAATGCTTTTTTTTTTGGTGTGAATCTTTTTTTTTTCTTTTTAATTACTTCATTTTCTTCTGATTGACCATTTAGAACTTGAAAACTGGATGAATGAGTGGCTAAAACTTTTGAGGGGAGAATAGAATTGCACTGTTAAATTTCTCTTCTGAAGGAAGCCATTAAGGCTATTGTGTACACACTGGAAATCTTGGTGTTGGCAGTGAACCCTAATGTACTCTTTAAAGATTTGAGTATGTTGGATGAGATATTCCTCTTGTCTTTGTCCTTTAGCTCTCCTTCATGAAGCAAGGAGTATAAAACTTGAATAAGTTTTCTAACAACAAAGGGTGAAAGAATAGACTTGCAAATGCACAATAAACAAAACATCATTCACAGTTAACCAAACTGCTGCAGGTTATACATATGCATCCAAAGAGCAGCACTACTGTGGTTACTGTCCCAGAGTTTTTGGATTTCATAGGACAATCTGTTTTTGATACATCCATCTTGTCCTGATGAATATTGAGCTTGATGATCTTGCTTGTTTTCATATATAAAAAAAAGCCATTTTTATACTTAGTTAATTAAAAGTGAGACCAGAAGGATTGAATTCCCTTTTAATTAAAGTCCAATTTGTATAACTGTTTATATACTGTCAGGTTTTATTGTGAATCTTTTGCATAGTAATAACTGTAATCCAGGCACAGCCCTTTCTGTCAGTAAAAACAGGAGAAAGGGATCAAAGAGATTGGACTTTAGAACAGCTCTGAGCCTGGCATATGATATGTGTACTTAACAGTAAGTTAAACATCTAAAAATATAAGAATATAATTTCCCTGGTTTACTTATGTGGCTTGTTATCTAGGCTTTTGCAGTCTGGCCTAGGTGTTTTAAAATACTGGCTACTTCATTTTGTGTGTTCCCCCCATCTTGTATTACAGTGACACTTCCAATAGAGTGCTTCCAACATGTAAATAAAACAAACCCAGAAAATTATTCACTGAATAAATAAAACATTTCATTGATGTCACAATATTACAAGGTTAGGTTCATCAAAAATAATCCACTGTATTAAACTGACAGTGTAACATACAGCTACAAGAACTTAAAGGAGGAAGAAAGCTGTGCTTAAACTTTAGGATACTTTCCATGTCAAGGGCAATCAACAGACCTCCTGTTGTGAAAATTATTGGCTTATGAGCATAGCTGTAGTGTATATATCTAGATTATATTTGCGTAGTTGCACACATTATTATCTGTAAATGCTGTCATTTTTACTTTTATGTTTACTTTAGAAAAGCTGAGGTGAACTTGAAGTAGCTCCAAGCTGTTGTTAAGCAACTATATTTTAATATAGAAATCACACTGCATTATTATTACATCACCTGCTAATTCAGCACTGCTTTCACAACTTGTGGTTGCCTTCAGCAATGTGG